TAATGAACAATTAGAGACAGGAATAATTGAAAAATGTTCTAATGCTGTTAATTGCGAACTTGAGAGGGCTAGCTATTTTGCTCCTCATAGTCCTGTAATTTGTCTTAATAAGACAACTACTGCTGTGCGTACTGTCTATGACTGTTCGTCTAAAGACAAAAGTGCAAAATCTCTGAACGAGTGTCTAATCCAAGGACCCAACTTGTAAAGCAATTTGTTAGATATCATTTTAAAATTCAGGTTGCACAAGGCAGCTTTTAGGGCAGATATAAAAGGTGCATTTGATTCTATTTTACTCGACAAAGATTAGAAAAATTATTTAAAATTTATTTGGTTCGGTTATGATGAAAATTCGCCATTTCAAATATACAAAATGTCACGATTGCCTTTTGGAACTTGTCAATTACCTTTCACACTTGCGACAACTATTAAATATCACATAAAGAAATATAAAGAGGACCATAGTGATGTTGTAGAAATGTTAGATAAATTCTTGTAAGTAGACAACCTTTTGCATGGGGCTGAAAATGATGATAAAGCATTTTACCTGTCAACTACTGTGGTGAGTATTTTGAAAGATGCATACATGCATCTTGGTAAAATGAAAAGCAAATTTAGAGTTCTAAGAGAACTATGGATCAAAAGTGGAATCGATATTGAGGAAAATAATTTAAATAAAAACTCGTCAAAAGTTCTATGCTTGAGGTGGGATACACATCAAGACAGTTTAAGTTTAGATATAGCACAGTTCAGGGAACACATGATGAACAAACAGTAACTAAAAGACTCATTTTACAAACCATAGCCAAAATTTATGATCCTATCGTACTAATTTCTGCATATGTTATTAGAGCTAAGTTTATGATTCAAGAATTATGAGAATCTGGTTGTGACTGGAATTTCGAGGTACCTGATGAGCTAAGAAGGGAGTTTTTGACATGGTATTCTGAAATCGAGGAACTTGTTAACATTAATATTCCTACAAGATATTTTTTGTGTGGTTCAGCAATTAATGCAGAAACTATGATCCTAATTGCTTTCGCTGATGTCAGTATCAAAGGATATGGTAGTATAGCATATCTTCAAAATCCCACTACTTTGGAGACATCCTTTATACTATCTAAAAGCAGAGTAGCTTCTCTAAAGAAGCTTGCACTTCCATGCTTGGAACTGATGGCAGCTACTACTGCTGCTAGGTTAGCTAATTATCTGAAAACACTCTTTAACATCAAGGAATACAATATTTACTGCTTTAGCGACTCTCAATTAGTACTCCATTGGATAAAGAGCTGTGCCAATGATTGGAAACCTTTCATAGCAAATTGTGTTAGAGAGATACAGAATGTAATCGCTCCTTCTCAATGGCAGTTTTGTAAGGGATCTCAGAATCCCACAGATGTTGTATCACGAGGTGCAAAGTTAACAGATCTTACAGAAAATGAATTTTGGTTTCATGGTCCACCTTGGCTAAGGCAAGGTAACTTCAGTAATCAAAGGGTCGAACCTATTTTAGATCCTGAACTTAAGAAACTTTCTCTTGAAGAGATGCGAAAAACTGTGGTGTGCGTTGCATCCAATAATAAAAATGAATTTGATCTTCTTACTAAATTTTCATCCTGGAATAAGTTCAAACGTGTAGCAGCGTGGTGTCTTAGATTTGTGAAAAATGCCAGTTCTTCAATATTAAAAGTTAAAGGAGTTTTAACTGTTCCTGAACTCGATAGAGCTTCAGACATTATTGTGCGCTTAGTCCAAGAATTACTAAAAAATTATAAACTGATAAAGTGAATTTAAAGCCAAAATATCGGCATTAAGAGCAGGGAAAAACATCAGCTCTAACAGCAGAATTATCTCCTTGAATCCCTTCTTGGATAACGAAAATATTCTTCATGTTGGAGGAAGGCTAAGAAATACAAATATACCTGAAAATTAAAAACTCCAGGCAATTCTTCCTAAGAAGCATCACGTAACTGAATTAATAATCAAGCATTTTCATGAAACTCATCTTCATGGGGGAACTTCACTTAGAATTTCAGCTACCTGACAGAAATATTGAATAATTAACTGTAGAGATGCAGAAGACTGTTATTATGATGGCAATTTTATAAAAACTAAACTCGAACTTTTGATTATGTCACGTTTCCAATTTTGGAGCTGTCAAAGGATCTATAAAGCGAAACCATGTTTCAATGTCCATTAAACAAAAAAAGAAACTGCTGCAAAAAAAGAGATAAAGGCATATCTGTCTCAAAATTATGCGAGGAGTATGGCATTAGAAAGTCAACTTTATATGACATAAGAAAAAGGAACTTTTTGAATTTTTTTGGAAGGAACTTAAACAACTTACATTAAAAGAAATGTTTAATAAAGTAAACAAATAAATATTAAGCTTTTTTTGTAAATTTTGATACCCTTTAGATCATAATTGTTCTTTATTTCATAAATTATGATTTGATATTTTTAATTGTATAATTTCTGCATGCCATCTTACCAGATTTAAATTGATGATCGATTATCCAGAAAATCCCAAATCCGGAATTGCCGAAGTCCCGACCAGTCCGGATTTTGGACTTTGTACTGTAACTCACAGTGATAAACAAAATTAATTATAGAATTAGATTTTTTAATATCATATATTACAGTTAAAAGTAAATTATTTTAAAAGAATTATTTAATTTACTCTCACACATTGTTGGACACTTATCATTTTGTTAATGGTTAAACAAAATAAATTATAATCATGAAAGAATAAAAAGCGTGCTTTTGATTACTGCCTTAATAATTTATTTAAACTGTAAATTACTTTGTAAAAGAACAAAAAAATATTTCATGGTATTTACAAAATTAAAAATTTACAAATGTCATACACGGCCCAGGATACATAGGGTCACCAAATGTGGCAATATTTTGTGTCAGATGTCATAACTGAGATTTTGTTTGTATGGAAACCCTTTTTATGTGGAAAGTTTTATGAGGAATGTGGTTGTATTTCGTCATAGTAGTTGTTTGGTTACGTGTTGAATATTGGTGCATAGTTCCATGAAGGAAGTTGTGGAAATATATCACCCACGTGTTTTAGAGTATTCATACTAGATTTAGTTTGAGAAGGTATATTGTTGGAGTTATGAAGCATTTGTTCAGAATTATATTCATGCCGACAGAAGTGTATTTTAGCAGTTTTTATGGGATACAGGATTTCTGAAGCCGAACTTGGTATGTGAGAAGTGCAGGTCTGATATGAAGACTCGGAAGAAAAATTGCATTTCTGATGGATTTGTGGAAAAATTGTTGAGGGTAAAGAATGTGACTCTCAAAGAAGTTTAAGGTTTGAATCCTGATTTTTCCTGCAATAAGTTGACTTTAGAGGAAATTTTTATTGTAATGTTTGAAATTTTGAATCACAGAAAGACATCTGACATAGCAACGTCATGGCCTTTTGGTTCACATACTCTGTTTGATTGGCATAGTTTTATTAATAAAAGTATATTGGGTTACATATGTGGTATGTCTGTCCTTGGAGGTTTTTGTTTGAAGTTATCATCTTGCCTTTTGGGGAACTATTTTGAATAATATGTGAATTTACTTTTTATTGTTTTAATTTAGTAGAGAGTTATTTTAATTATTGCATTGCTTTTTGTGCTGTTATTATTATTTTTTAATTTTGAATTTAATTGTGTTGAAATTGTTTGGAATTTATTGTTATTTTAGTTTAAATTTGTTGGCAAACATTTCTGGTGATATACTTCATACTTTTACATATCTAATTTTTTTTGTTTTTATTTCAGACTTTTAGCGTAAATTGTGTGCAAAACCGTGGTTTTTTTGCACATACAAAAATGCCATTTTTCAGATATTTTGGACTTTGAAATGTAAACAAAAAGTTTACATAAGTAAAATCGTGGAGTTTCTCGCCAAATATGTTTGACAAGAAATTTTTTGCCAACCTGGTCTGTATATGACAATAGTTTCATTAAAAATATACTGTAGGGTGCCGCTTGGAGAAAATTGTGATTTTCGGCTATTGGCCAGCAAGGTACAATTTCAAGATGGCCACTACACAAAACCAAAATAACAAGTAAAACGATTACACTAACTCTATGTCCATGTACATATAGATCTATTTTTACTTAAAAAACATCAGAGGATTTCACAAACTGCATTGCGCACTGACTTCACTGACTGACTGACCATGTACACATCGACCTATTTACACTTAAAAATTGAAGGAGCACCCAATTCTACCTGACAGCCTAACAAAAAATATATAATCTCAATAAATTGCAGTTTAAATCAAACTATGAAATAACATAAAAAAGCACTACACACTACTATAGCATTTATGCTCTACACAAAGCAAATATCCACTTTCCTTATTTAGAATGTTCTGTGTCTTCAGTCTGTGGCACATAAAATTTCTTAACAGCATCCAAAAACTTTCCTAAAACCATATTCCCTTCCTAATGGAACAGTTTATATATTAAGCATTTAAACCTTTCTTGCGACAAACCCCTCCAAACGATCTTTATATGTTCGACCATATGCACTTCCTTCGTACAAACGGGAAACTTATAATTCTGATGAATTACATCCAACAAAATTTCTCTTCTCGCCTCAACCACTTTAAAAAAAAAACACATTCTGCTCTCTCGTTCTATATTAACAAACACCCAGTTTACCACTGGCAGTCATTTTATGACAAAAAGCACGCAACATGCAATGCAGAAATAAGCCCTTACAAATATTTTCCCATCAATCAAATTCACTGCAATCACACAATCAATCTCGTCATAATAGGGTTTCCATAACATTCAATTACTAAGATTACCATAAATGAAACAACTTGCCAATAATCCAAAGGGCACCCTAAAATATAGGCTAACCATATTTTGAAAATTAAGGGGGTATTCATAAAAAGAAAGTAGGATAAATTTTGAACAAGTACATATAATATTAGCTTCTTCACAAACTGATACAAAATTTGAATAGCTCAGAAATCTTACCCTGTGTCTCCAAGACCATGGAGAAATATAACCTATAATTAAAAGGACACAAAAGTTAGTGAAAAACAATAACAATCTATCAGTGTTTTTCAACCGCCGGTCCGCAAAATATCCAGCTATCTGTCCAAAATACAAAGTGTCATCAGCCAACAACTGATATTACAACAGCACCTACATTACAATAAAATTTACAGTACAATTTATGTGAAAAAATTGTGCCAATGGGTCGAATTATTAAACTTACCAGTCCGCGAGAATGTACTGAAATATTTTACCGGTCCTTGGAGTAAATCCAGTTGAAAAACACTAATTTATATAACGGAGCAAAATTTAAAAATATAGTCATCCATGGGAAATACAGTTGACATACCCTTGACAATATCAAAATTACACAATTAAGTAAATGAATAAAAAAAATAAATAAATAAAAGTAATTTAAAATGTTTTTAAAAAATTTTGTAAAGCAAACAGTAAGAAAAAGGAAAAAAAAAAGTAAGAAAAAGGCTAGAAAAGAATCTTCCTTGGTTTTATAGTATATATTTGTAATACTGTACATTCTTAACTATATTTTATTAACAGAGGGCATACTCTATTCTAAGTCACTGTGATAAGCTCATGACTTGAAGACATTAAAAAAATTACTTGTTTTTAATTCACTTCTGGGTGATTTCAATTTGCTATTCCCAATTAGTTTTGCCAATCACATCAAACTGGCAATTAATGGCATCTACTTATGAATCTCAATCTTTTGTTTTGATGTTTTCATAATGGCAGGTTATGATGCTTCCTGCTCTCTGTTAGTGTTTATGCATATTTTATTACTACATTTTACTTTATTTTAGTAAAATATGTATATATTACTTTTTCAATTAATAAATAAAGATTTGTTTCTGTACTATTTCATTTCATTTTGGAATCAACTGTATTGGGAAGGGATTCAGAATATTCGTGTGAACTGTTGAAATTAAATAATTCAAAACAGTTCCTCAGCTAATTTTGGATTAACTGAAATGCAGAGATTTTCAAAGAGGAGAGGGATTAAGTTACATCTGACCTACCTCCTCTTGATAATGTCAAATCAGATATTAATTACATTCCTTTGCCTATACATTTTTTATTACTGTTTTGTTATTTTTGTACTTCCTTTCTTAGTATTTTTACTGGTTTGATGACTAATAGTTGATTTTTACATATTTATGGAAAATTTTAGATTTACTGATTTAGAATTTCTTTCATGTCTTTGTGGATATGGTTCTAAATTTCTTTCTTTTTGTCTCTATATATGATAATTTACTTGAAGCAGATGAATGTCAAGGCGATGATCGAGGGAAGGAACTGCTGAACTAAAGAATCGAGGGAAAGTTTTTCTAGAGGACATATTCCTTTAATATTACACAGTCAGGCAGAGAGAGTGATAGAGAAATTGAAGCTTCAAAAAGTATTTCTTTTCACAGTCTTTAATTGATGGACATACTTTCTGTCCTCTACTGAAAACAGAGAATTTTATTTATATTTAAAAAAACTGCAGTTCTATTATGCACATTAAAATGGCATACATGTATGTAATAAATTTGGGTACTCTTGTAAAATTGGCCAACCACTAACCAATCACTGACGACCATTTTTTCGTCAACCTAACACTTAAAAAACAGATATTTTCATTGAAATACAATACTTAAAATTTTTTGCAATTGCAATACTTCCTTTACTTTGTACAAGGAAGTAAAAAACATTGGAAGGAAAGAGGATTAAGTATCTTAGTTACTCACAGGGCCGATCCTTGTTGGGGTGCAGTGAACGTGAGTGGCGAAAATCAGGGTCAGCCGGATTTTTTTGTTTTAAATTAAATGTTTTAAATGTGTAAATACTTTTTATACAATTTGTCATGTGCAAGTACTTAGTGAATATGAATTAAAAATGTTATTAATCACTGAAAAATTCGTTTTAAATTTGGGGGAGGCAGCAATCCTAGGAAAGTATGCGAATAGCCAGTGGCTTGGAAACGGCCCTAATCATATCATCTTCAGAATAAATATGCTGCATAAAGCACACAGTCTACTTTTCAATACCTTAAATATTATATCATGTTTCCAATACAATTTCTCTCTTAAATATCAACATTTCCTGAAAATTTTCAAGAGAACAGAGACTGGAAACAAGTACTTTTGTTTAATTTTTTTAATATCGACATTTGTAAGTAGATTATACTTCACAGGCGTCAATACAAAAGTACACATTTAGTTGTTTCAGGGTAGTCATCTGTCCCACCCTTCTCCCTTCCCAAGTATACTCATTGTTGTTGAACTCTTGTTTCCAAAGTAAAGTAACCCTACATCTAATGCTTATATGCTGTAGGTTTCCTGCAATTTGAATAGCTTATATTTCATCATTACATACCAAAGCAAAATGCAAGAAAATATTCCATACATCATTAAAAAAAAATTTACCGCAGAAGCTAACGAGGGAACCAAATTCATCATCAATTAATTTAAATAGTTTTACCTTTTATTCCAAAATGAGAATAGATACTAAACATAAGTAAAATGACATGAACTGAGAATAACTTCTTAGAACAGTACTTGAACGGCATTTAAAATATAGTTGTAGGTTTATTCATAATAATTAACAAGCAAAGAATAGTCAGGGAATAATTATTCTTCAATCATTTAATAATCCTGCTTAATAACAGAATCTAAACACCACGATTCGCGTATAGCATTTTAAGATAGCTTCGTGACAAAATATCAAAGGTATAAAAAATTTTACGACTATAAATATTTTAACAGATAACAAATCATTAATTCACATATGAAAAGCGTTCATAAAATACGTACCGATGCCGTGTGTTTCGAAGCGGCAGAAATAACCACCGGCGACGAAGACATTCTGGACGCTTTAGTGCCTATCTAGAAGCAAGTAAGCTTTTTTATCAGTAAAGTTTACAGATTAAATGGGAAAATAATATAAATAATTATAAATTCCTAGCCTACTTTTATTTTATAAAGATATAAAAAATACACATAAACATTTCCCACTCAAGTACAGCAATTATATATATTAAACACAAATTTTAAGGCTATATATTCTACTTTCAAACAAACTATTGAAACCTATTAGCAAATACAAAATAAAAGTATACTTGGTACCTTCCTAAAAAGTGTAATAATAGCTTTAGATTTATTTTTTAAACTCTAAATTAAGTAACTAACTAGACTTAAACCTCATACGATAGCATTTTTGCAGAGTCCAGTGACGGCGGAAGTGTGCGGCCACGTGACTTTTAAAATTGGTATCTATGTTGAACTGCGGTGCTTAACCACCAGGGTGCCTGGGCGCCATAGCCCTACCCCTCATCGAATAACATGATAAACGTTTCGAATTATGAGAAATATAACTGAATGTGCTAAATAATTAAATGAGCAAGAGTTTAAATTCATAATTGCTAATAGTTAAATACAAATTTTTTTCCTTAAGTACCTAATTACTAATCCATACATAATTAACTATTTTTTAAACACTATTTCACAGAAGAATACATGACACACAAGAGAAACAAAATACGAAGTGCGACGCCTTAGTGCCACTAGTAAAAACAAAAAGCAAGAAAAGAGAACAATATACAATAAAGAATCTGAGCAACAATTTGCATAACACAATATACAAAATTACTTACATTACTAACATTTAGGATCGCCCTTGGGCGTTTACTGAAATTGGGGTCCCTAGTATCATAAGCAATAGTTAACAACCACAGGATTGTCCAGAAGTTCCTGTTTATCATAAAATGCCCTAGATAGGCGGCAATAAAAATCAAAAAGATCCTCTATTCTTAACTCTTTACGAATTTGGCTATTAAAATTGGTATCTGAAATTACCGGAAAAGAGAGTTTAATGTAAAAACCTTCCTCGGTAGAACTAAAGCTCTTATTAGAGATAATTACCGTATCAAGGATGGGTTCAATTACGAAGCTCATAAGCTTAATGCCTTTATCCCCACATCATCAAAGATAAAATAATTATCATCAAAAAGAGGGTTTGGCAAAGAGGTAAAATTTAGTGCCGAATTGTAAAAATAACAAAACGTAATCTGCCTTCCACAGCGAAAAAGGTAAAAACACTGAAGACCTTAATTTAATAATTTTGAGATCGAATAAAGGGCTAGAATCAATTTTAAAGGGTTACATCATGAATTTAGAAAAGATTCGATATTTTCTTGATCAATGATATTGTAGTGTTAACAAGAAACCACTCCCGAAAGCGTATTTTTACTTCCTCCATAGGAAACGCAGCCCGCGACTAAGGGCCGTATCAAGGCCAACTAGATATCTACAGGCTAGAGCTACTAGAGATACAGGCTGACTCGTCAGCCATTTTGAATCTAAGCTTTAGGGTTGCAATTTAGGTGTGGAGCGGCAACTTTGGCTCTTTAGCGCTGTCCGCTAAAATTTAACATTCTAGAGAATCCGAATTTCAGCTTTTTCTGCACTCCTATAAAGATGTGTGGCTGTGGCTTTTTCCCCTTCTTTTGTCTGAAGTGCAGATTCTTTCTCGTATTTTTTTTTTTTTTAAATTGCCAAATTTCTCGTATGATTCAAGTTATTTTAAAAGTTTCTAAAACATTTTCACATATCATATTTCAAATTTGTATTTTTAGTTAAAAATACTTTCTTTTTGAATTCCTTTATTGAATTTTCAATTTTTTCTTTTAAATACACGCATAATGTTATTCATCTCAAAATGTATTTTTTGACAAGAGCTTTCCCTCAACCACATTCTTAATATGGTTGAGGGAAATCCCTCAACCTCCATTAATTTAGGATAAGGTTTAATCTTTAATTCTTGTTTTTTATTTTTAATATGTTATTTGAATTTTGCTCACATGGAATCAAACGTCTATTACTGTAGCAAATTTGTTAAAAATGTTTTTGTGTGTGTTTCCAGAAAAAGCTGCTAAACACTTTATGATTTTAAATACTGATTCAGGATATACACCTTTAAATTATAATGCTTTTAGAATGAAGTGCAGAATGCTATAAAAATTACTTCAATGCTCAGATGACTGTGGGATTCATAGATTTAATAGAGTAAAAAATTCCATTAAATATATTTTTTTTTTCTTTATTTAGCTAAAAACAATATTAAAATAATACACACACAAATAAATAAAAATAAAAATAATACCTTTACATACAGAATTTACAGATACTATTTACTTATAAGTTTATTTGTTGTTGATGGTTACTTTTTATTATACTTGGAAAAATTATACTTACATACATATGCTCTTAATATTACACGTATCTGAATATTTAAATGATAATTCCATAACATAATAAGATTCAATCTATATCACAGCAAAGACAATACTTAAATCACAGTTCTTTTTATTAATTAATTTGCATAAGTAAAAACATAAAAATATTATTTAGCTTCAAATCTATAAAATAAGTCCTCTAGTAACAAACATATGACAAACACATATAGTGAAAATAAAGATAAATAAATAAAAATGTTTTGCTTTTTTGTCTAATGTAGTGCAATTCAGTCTATTATATTCAAATTTTATTAAAACATACTGCAGTAATTGAATTTTTTCCATTATACATCAAACAGCTTTATATAGAATGATATTATATTAGTTTTACTTTTAAAACTAATATAATATAATTAATTGTCATTTATATGCAAGATGTCTGAATAAATGCAAAAAACCATCTGAATAAATCTTAGCCAACACTATTCAGATAGTATTCTTGTTTTCAAGGTATATCATTTTTATTTTGTTCTTTTTCCATTAAAGGAGCTAACCTAAGAGACATATTTATATACATCTCATTGATATATTATAAATATAGCTTAAACATGTTTTATGTGCATACTCAAAGGGGGTGGGAAGTAAGCCTTGATTCAAAATCTGTTTTAAAGCAATAAGTAAATAAATAAAATACACTGGTTCTATTAGAATGTCAAAAAATACTGTTATGTATTCTATAAACAAATCCAAATTATCACATCATATTATATAACCCTGGTACAAAAGAAGAAATGTCTGATTAGGAACATACTCTATTTATTTGGTAAAAAAGAAGAGTAAAACATATGCAACATCACATTATGAAAAATCCTGCAAGCCATTACAATACTATAAGACATTGATTAGTAAGGTAAACATCAGTTGATCATTCTTTCACAACAGCAATAAATGTTTCATTTCAAAATTCCTAATAACATGCCAAAACAGATTCACAATTGATGCCTCATTTAAGGTCACACAAAAGTAAATCCGATTTAGCTGACTATGAGATCTTCTATCTTGTATTGTAGAGGACTTTCTAAGGAGAACTGGCTTGTATTCACATTACACATGGGGAAAAAAACCACAAAAAAACCAACCATGCAGCCAGCCTGTTCGGAAATAGAACAGAAGATGGAACTCCCAGCATTCAGTAACTTTAACCATTCAGCTGTTGGTGGGCCTAATTATTATTCGAAGAGACAAAGCAGCAATTTTTCAGTGACAACTACTCTACTTTTTTACAGACAGAACTGAACAGCAAAAACTTCTTAAACTCTTGATTAGATTCTAATTTACTTTCTTCCTTTTAAAAGCAGGAGATGCAAAACTTTGCCGCTGCTGCCTTTTATTTTGAAGAAGCTTCTTGAGACCAATTCCACGGGCAGTCAAATAATATTTTATTATCTTTGTTTTGATATTGCAACAGGAGGGAATATTTACCTCGCCTGCTTTCTTACAAATCATATTAACAAATTCCACATCCATAGTTACATTTCCATGTATTATTTCGTCTCGAAAATTTTGAATTATTTTTTCACACAGAAGGCACAATTTAAAAATTTCTGGAGAAGGACATTTAAGCCCACCTAAATTTGCAAAATTAATTATGTACTGCTTATTTTCATCAATGGAAGGAGTATTTTGCTCACAAACTAAGAGAAACTGTGAGCATGAATTACAAGCATTTTTCAAAACAGAATTTATTGCAGCTCCTGCAATATAACAGACGTTATTTTCCTCACTAAGGGTGAGATTCTGTAGAGATACATCAGAAACTTCTGGTATGGTAACAGGCTCTAAAGCTTTTTTTCTTTTTTCTCCTTCAGAAATTCAAATTCATCTTTTGCATAGTTTAATAAGTAAATATCTGAATCAGTAGCATAACTGGAGTTTTTAATGTCAGATATAAACTGAGATAAACAGATAAGCTTTAATGCTTTCACAGCTTGCAAAGCACTTGGCCTCAAACCAGCTTTTTCTGCGTATCTGAGAAAATACATTTTCTAGAGCATCTTGTGTCAATCTGCTCATCAAAATAAACTGAAAATCATTCAGAAAACATGCCTCTGCTAACTGTATGGCTGATAAAGTAGAAAGAATCAAACCAGTATGTAATGGTTTCCACCCTTTACCAATTTCTATAAGCTGTATAACATTAATAAATTCAAAAAGTAACTCAATTTTTTTTGCTTTTATTTGTCACAGAAATTGAGTTCTTTCTACATCTAGAGGATAGCATTTGAAACCACTGACATATAAATCTTATCCACCATGCTGTTGTAAGAGCATTAGGGCTTATCTCTTTTAAAGCTACTGCCTTCTCCAATCCCACAGCTGTTTTAATTTAAAAAAACTCACAGCAGAAGCAACATTCATTTTATCAAAATGTGAGGGGAAGAGGTCTTCTTTACTGAGATGATGCATAGTTCTCAAACCACAATTTTGGTTTGTTTCAGTAAACCAGATATCTTTTAATAAATCCTGCAGATACATGCAAAGTAACGAAATTTTCTTTACTGCAAACATAACTGGGCAGTTTTATACTATGATTAAGAGTTGCAGACCAAGATTTTTTAAAAGATTGGCAATCTACACAGAACGAATTTTCAAATTTCAAAGACAAAAAATGTTTGAGAGGGAAGAAGAATTCTTTTGCAAATGTGAGATTAATGTCAAAGAGGGATTCTTTTTGCTTTGTTTGTTTCATTTGATCAATTTGATAGTCAAATAAATCAGATTTTAATGTTTCAGTAAGTATCTTTGATCCAAATATCAATCTTTTATGCAGATAATGCAAATAATTTACTAATGCAAACATAACTGGGCTTTATTGGTTTATTGACAATTACTATACAATTATAGGTTGCAGACTTTTTATACTATAGATTAAGAGTTGCAGACTTACATTTTTTTAAAGAAAAGATGTGGCATCATAATATTTAATTTTTTATTTTGCCCTTAATTTCAGTAGTGAAATTATTTCTTTG